GCTCCCCGCCCGAGCAGAGCAGGACTTTGAATGAGTTGTTTCTTCAGAGTGTGCCTTGGAGGAGCTATCCAGGTAAATTTTCCAGAAGATCAGGCTGGATTTCTAAAACTTGCAGAGGTAGTTAATATGTACCTGGGTTATATGTATGTGCAGGAATGTCTACAGATACAGCTGCCTTTTAACTGGATACAAGCTATATGTAGTTTTTATTTAATCTAGTTTTTGAGTAACCTCTGCTTCAAACCTGTGCCCATTATTGCTGCCAGTGACAAAAGTTAGGCCATATCTAGGGATGGTTTTTTACAGTAGGACTCTACAAACCTTTATTGTCTTTTCATTATGGGTAGGGAATCGGAGGTCAGGGCTGGTGACACAGACGCTGAAACCTGAACTGGCTGCAGGGGTTTGGGTGCCAGCACAGTGGCTTGAGCTTGCAAAACATATGGTAGGGACCGGTCTGGTGCCTCGGGTTGATGTTTTCGTCAATCAGATCCCCAGAGGGGGCTTAGGCCTCTGGACCAGATTATTTTGAATCCTTGGTGGCAGGTTTCCAGAGAGCAGCAGGAAGCAGTTTGCTGTGTGGATCATCCCTGAAGGAAAGTTTTGGCCAGAAGAGTTTTGTCCAAGATGATCAAAGCATGTGTAGCCTGTCAGACTTCATTCTTAACAGAGCTACTTCCATCTGTAAACAGAATATGCCAGGGGGTCCATTTTTAGAACAGTTCATCCCAGTACAGCTCGTGGCACCTGGACAGTTAGGTCTTGGCCTAAGGTGAGCTTGTCAGCTTTCTGATTTAGAAGGATAGTGGCTGCTAGAGCACGGAGGCAAAGGGGTAGGGGCAGGTCCTTAGTGACTGGATCCAAATATCTGCACAGGCAGGCCACTGGGCGCTCCCAGGGGCTGACAGTCTGAATAAGCATCATTGTTTCTGTGCACTCAAGGATCCAGATTCTATAGAAGCCAGCAGCTGCAGGGAATTTGCAGAGTTTCTTTCTTGTAGCCAGTTTTTGCCAGATATTGGAGCAGAGCTTTTGTGTCTTTTCAATAGGCAGCTTGAGTGTCATTAATCAGAAGAGCTTTTTCAAAGAGGAAACAAGTTTTTGAATCTCTAGGAGGTTGAGTCCAGGTCAGTTGGCTTTTGAGTCCAGAACTGGAGTCTTTCCACTTAAAGGTGAAGAGGGGCTGGCTGACAGGAGCCAGTTGAAGGTGGAAGAAGGCGTTCTTTAGGTCCAAGCAGGTGTACCAGCAGGCTGTGGGTGGCAGAAGATTGAGGCAACCTATGTGGAGGGCCATCCCAGTGGCATTGGCAGCTTGGAGATCTTCAACTGGCTTTACAGGCAAGTGAGGTTATTTTAGCAGTTTGACAGTCCATATCATTTGCTTGGGGGACCATAATGAAACCAAATCTGTCATCAAAGCCTTCCCTAACACCTGTAATAGTTCATACATTGTGTCAACCTGAGAACTGAGAAGTTTAGAAGCTTAACTAAGCAATTCAGCAGGTGCTCAGTGTCCTTACTTTGTAAACATCCTGAGCCTGTGCAAAAGGAGGGTGCAGAGAGTGTGAGGGTGGGGAGCCTGCACCCACTATAAGGGAGGAAAAGAGGATTACTCTCCCCACTTTTGCCCTTGTTGCTTTTGCTGTCTTCTGCCCCTTAGAGGTGTTTCCCCTGCGCCCTGCCACCCTGCATTGGAGCCAACTGATTATGGTCTGAAACCTCCACAAACTCTGAGCTGAACAAACATTTCCTTCCTTAATTTTGAGCATCAGGTATTTTGTCTCAGCAACGACAAAATAGGAAAATGAGAGAAAAGTAACCAAGACAACCCCCTATGGCAATTGAGTCCAAGTGAGCTGGGCTTTTGTCTCAGGAGCTGGCCACTTTTCCCGGTTGAAGGGGCTTATGGGAGCAACTTGCAAGCAGAGGAAGGCATGTTTTAAATCTAGAACATGAGCCAGGCGCGGTGGCGTATGCCTGTAATCCCAGCACTCGAGAAGCTGAGGCAGGAGGATCACTGCAAGTTTGAGACCAGCCTGGAATACAAAGTGAGCTCAAGGCCAGCCTGAACTGCATAGCGAGACCCTGACTCAAAAAGATTTAAAAAAAAAATCTAGAACAGTCCAACAGGGTGTATGGGTCAGGAACCACAGAGTTCAAGGTGATGGCTGCATTGTTGATGGTACAGAGATCTTGCCCAAGGTGATTAAGTCTACTAGGCTGATGTGTGGCTGGATGTCTGTTTGTGCTTCCTGTGACATCTGACAGCAACAGAGGTCATGGTGAGGAAGCATGGCTGATGGCCAGGCCCAGAGATCAATCTTCAGTTTACACCTCTGGAAGGAGAGTTTTCAGAACTTCAGAATTGCGGTTATCTGTCTCAGGCTCATGCAAGCATCATCTTTCTCTCAGGGAACAGTCAAAGTTGAAAGTGCAGAGTTAAATGGGAGGAAGGCTGACTGGCTTGGTGTGAAGGAGATGTCCTCCCAGCCTGCAAGTTTGTGCCTGGCCAAAGGGGTGAGAGGCAAGAGTCCCAGTTGCCTCAGTGACGGTAACTTTGTGACAGAAGGAACATTTGAGGGCAGACAGTTCTGTTCCATTGTCCACCAGGACAGACAGGTTTGCCCCCAACTTTTGCAATGATTATGGACTATCACGGGCCCAATTTGATAGACCTCAGTCTGTTCTATATATTCAGGCCCACTTGGTCAGGGCTGACAGTCTAATTTTTCATCAGTCAAAATGTGGAACTCAGAAGAAATCGTTGACAATCATCTTGAGTGGGCATTAGATGACGCCATCTGACCAGGGTAAGTGCATGGGGAGCCCTGTGTGGCTGATTGCAAGCAATGGCTAGTTAGAATCAGTTCCATTGGCTGGAAGTAGATAAGTCCAGAGCATGGAGTGAAACTATAGGTGTTGGCAAAAGCTGCAGCAGCCAATGAGAGTGCCACGGTGGAATTCTCAGGAAGAATGGGCCTCTTTTTCCATTTATTTTTCTTTGAGATAGAGGAAGCAGTTTGATTTCATTTTTAACTCTGTAAAAGCCCTTTTTCCTGCAGTCAAGGACTGTGGGTTTTGATTAATTAATTCCCTTCTCTGATTTCCTACATGTGTGTTCTGTACCCTTGAACGATGGCACAACAGACAAAAGGTGGGTGCCCCTTAGAGAGAGAGAGAGAGAGAGAGACAGAGCATTCAGATACCAGCCTGGCATGCCCTTCTGTTATGTCATGTGTCGATCGCCATGGAACCATGGTTGAGGGCCCAATCAGCCTTCTCGAGCAGTGCTTCCCAATATTGGTGCACAGAAGGAGCAGCCTATTGCTTACGCTGTCCGTTTCACTCACACAATTACTCAACAGGTGCTCAGAGGTTAAACATTCCAACCCCTCTTCCCTTGAGGGTGGCCTTAACTAACAAGAGGTGATCAAGTTCTTCTCCTGCTCGAACTGAGCAAAACTGACCAATTGACTAACTGGGGTCCCCCCGGAGTCTTACTGGACTCAGGCAGACAGACAGACAGATTGCATCCTCCTCCCTTTGGGGTCCAGTGTGAGCTGCTTGAACAGGGATCCCATAATCCTCCTCCAGACCTCCGAGGGGACTCGAGAAATCTTGAGGGCAGGCCTTCCCCTCAGGACCTGGAGAGATCCTTGCTCCTTCCTTGAGGATCACAATCAGTGACTAAAGAGGTCAGCATGGTTGGTCTTCCTGGCCAACACACCAGATGCAACAGCAGCAGAAACACCAAAACAACACCCAAGATTTGGAGGCAGATTTATTTATGCTAATGGGCACTGATCTGGATCATTCCCACAATATCATGTCCTGTTCTCCGGTGGTCTAGGGCTTATATGAGATAAGCAAGCAGGAAGTGCAGAGGCAGAGTGCCTTGTCAACTGAGGATTGGCTTATACAATGTGCATCACAGTGACCAGCTGTTTCTGAGAGACAGAAGCAACCGGAACTGGAACAGGAACTGTTACCTGGGCAACTAAGAAACTGAAGTACACTGGCAGTGGGGGACATTTTCTGTTACACAAGGCCAGCCTGGACTATGATAGGGAAGCTTTGTCTCAAGAAAATGAACCAAAAAAGTGTCATGAGAGAGCCAGGCATGTCGGCACATGCCTGTAATCTGAGCACTCAGGAGGCTGAGACAGTATGGTAAATTCCAGCCCAGCCCAAGAATGTACACTTCAGGCTGGCCTGGGCTACAAAGACCCTGTCTCAAAAAGAAAGAAAGAAAGAGAGAGAGAGAGAGAGAGAGAGAGAGAGAGA